TAACGCGTTATCGTTATCGTTACAGTAACGAGTAACGCGTTACTGTAACTTTAACAACCCTAGTTCTGTCTAACCGCCAATCTTGGTTCAACGCCAACAAAGGTAGTGCTTTTATCACCTTTTGAGAGACAGTGTATGACAAGTTAGTGTTTCTTCACAAACCCAAAGTTTACAGCACTGGCTTTTGTTTTTTTACTTGTTTGAAAACGAACCTATAGCTGTCTTAGAGCTGACGCAGTGACCAATTCATTGCACGTGGCTTCAAGAGTGCAAGTGTGGAGGTAAGAAAGAATAGTTCAAAAGAATTTTGTTTAAGAGTTTTAATCTAAGAGACACATGATGACGCAAGCAGATACACAATTGCTTGTAAGTATAAGAAGTGTCTGAAAAGCAGTAGCATTTCACCGCACATTTTTTTCTTTTGTTTAATCAGCAGTACTGGGCAGATAAAATGAAAGAAGGCATCCTACGTGAAGGAAAAAATCGGAAATGACACATAAAATGGAAAGTTAATTAAAAGGACTAGAATAGATAAATTAGGCATAAAAAGCGACTAGCCAGATCTGGCGAGTAATTTAAAAACAGCGTTGCAAAACAAACAACGCTGTCCAAATTATTTGCTAAAGAACCAAAATGCGGAGACTCGTGCACATGGCAGTTGTGCAGAGTTACAATACGCGGCATAAAGCCTGCGCAGCACAATCAGTGACGATCAGGGTCTTGTGCCTCCCGTAGGTTGGCGGCTGTCGAAGTGCTTCTTGCGAGACGAGGCCTTCCGGGTCGCGTCCAGGCGTACAGCTTCTGCGCCTTGTCGACGGTCGCGTGATCCAGTTCTCCGTAGGGCTGCGGACGCACGTGCTTCTGCGACAGTTCATAAGGTGCACAAAGGAAGAGCTGAGCGAATTGTTCGACATCAAATCAAATCGAGTAAATTCCACTCGCATTCGTATTGTTCTGATTCGATTTCGAATAGTTCAAAATTTCGAATGGGATCCGTTTGCATTCGAATCAACTACATTGTAATGCAACCTGAAAACTGCGTACTTAGTATTAATGAGACTTACTAAAACAACAAAATTTGGGTCGTTTAATATTATGTAACGCACTTGGGGGAAGAAGCGTGGGAAGATACGCAATGCACTCCACTGCTCAGACTTGAGCGCGCGAGGCAGGCGCCTTCGGTAATCTTCGGCCCCATTCGGGATTGGCCTGCTACTGGTCCCGCGAGGCAGCCTCAGCTCGCGCACACAATAAACCCATGTGCATTTTGTTGTGCATTAACTTGCAGAATTTTATACAGCGATAAGTAAGCGCAATTTTTTATGAATAATTGTGTACAAAATGTGCATAATTATGCACACACTGTGCATAGTTATGCAAAAAATTGTGCATAATGCGCCCCACCTGCCCTCGCCTCCTTTTCGGTATGACTACCGCCGCGCGAGCCAGGCTGTGGCTCGCAGAGCGTTCGCAGAGCCGACCCTTGAACAAATCGGTCCTGTGCGCACCGCGTGCGCGCCGCGTGCGAAGCGCGTGCGCATATTGTTCACATCGCGTGCGCGCCGCGTGCGAAACGCACAGTGTCATCCTGAGGCTTTGATGTAGGATTTCGGGTGATCCAGGGGACATCCTGGGGGTCGCGAGGTGTCGCCGGAACGGTGACAACCTGCACAATCGAATGCCGAGGTCAGAAGTCCTGGACACACAACGAGGCCGGCGCCAGGATCACTTTGGCCTCCAAAATTCCACTCAAATTTTGTTGTCTTTGACGGGGGCCTCGTGGTATCCCCTCGTATCTCGCGAACCGTAGACCGCAGAGAGAAATGGACTTCGGCGCTGTGATCAGCAGGTCCCGGACACCAGGATAGCATATGGTGAGGTGGTCCTCATCAGGACAAGCGTCGCGGCGGAGGATTCCGCGCTGTGCGCACGCGAAGTTGTGCACGGCATGTGCGCAACGACCACACCAGCGCGCACAAGGCATGCACAGCCTTCACGGTCTTTGGGGGTGGCAAACTTGCGCATACGTTCATTGCGCACAGAAAGGCTGCGCACGCGTCGCGCACGTGCACTGTAAAAAATAATCACGGTCGCCCATACGGAAATATGCCGTTCACTTAACCTACGGCGTCTCCGTACCTTGGGTTTCGTACCCTCTTCCCATAAGAGCCCACGTAAAAAATACGTGGGTACGGAGCCGGGGTACGGAAAAGTACGGAAAAAGTCCTGATAATTTTGATCCCAAGGTCTTCGTCTTGAGTGCGGAGTCTGTTACGGCGTTCCGTACCCCCTTCCCTATGCTAGCCCATGTAAAAATCGTTGGTACGGTGGCCATGTACGGCAAATCTCCGAACCACTTTCGAAAATCACTCCCAAAAGTAAATACGGAACGCCGTGACAGGCTCCGTAACCAGTGTGGCGCGCACGCGATGTGCACGAAATGCGCACGCGGTTTGCACGCGACGCGCACGCAATTCGCACGCGGCGCGCACAGGACCCATTTCATCACGGGCTGTTTTCCCAGAAATACGGGATGTCGTACGACACTCACCTTTGCTCCGCTCTCGGTGTGCAAGCGCAGCTCGAGGGCGAGGCCAAGCGCGAACATGCTCTGCGGCACGAGGCGCTGCAGTCGGAGCAGGCACTGCTCGGCCAGGCAGCCGGACAGCTTGCACGGGGCGGCGCACGACAGGAACATCAGCACGTACGACACGTTGGTGTGTACCGACAGCGGCCACTCCAATAGCGCGTCCCTGGGTCCGAGAGTCCTGCCTAAGGTAAACTGCACACACACTAGGCTGGGTGAAAATGTAGGACCGCAAAAAAACTCACGCGCACAGGTCGAAGGCCTCATTCTCGCCCAGCTTGTAGAGGAAGCGGCTCAGGCAGGTGAGGGTGAAGGGCGTGCGGCGCGCGCGCACCGCGTTGCGCAGGAGCGTGAGCTTGCGCGGGTGGTCGTGCGGCAGCAGGTCGGCGTACAGCGCCTTCCACTCGCCCTCCTCTGGGGCCGCGTCCTTCGCCCGCGACGCGAGCACCAAGGCGTGCGGCAGCAGCAGCGTTCCGGAGTGCGCCGTCTCTGCACCCGAAGGAAGACCTGCACAGGTACATTAAAACTCTGGGATCAAAAAAGTACACCTGGTTTCAAATACTTCGAGATTTCCTATGCAGGGTGAAAGTCGAAGCGTGTCAGTGCATGGATTTCATACTTCATTGTCAAATAGCTGAGGCACTCAACCTATAGGTTAAGATCAGCAGCAGTAGTCCTTTCTCCACCCTAGCAGTCAAGTTGGCAAATTTGCCACATTTACCTTAAATTTTGGTGTTACATGCATCTTTACCAAAATGTAATTATACAATGACTGCAAGCCACCACAGCCATCATGATCTTCAAAACTGTGTGAGTTATTAATTTACGACGGTTCTGGTTAGAACACGAGGTGAGAGCGGTTACGTTTACCCTAATGATTTGTAAGCGCATATTGATAGGAGGTACCGAGATTGAAAAGTGTTTCAGTTTCTCGCTGGAAAATAGTAAAATCCTGAATGGAAAATTTCTATCTGGAAAACTAAATTCATTTTTTGAGGGTAAAGGGAAAACTTTGAGGAACTCCCTTGGTTTGAGGAAGGCTCCACAGATTTTGAGGAGGTCTACTCAAAAAATAAGGGGGTTTTCCTTATTTTATGAGCAGTTTTCCTCAAAAATGGAAGGCCCGCAAAGTTTCCCCATTTTTCTCAAAAAATTAGACGTTTTT